TATTAGAATGGTAAATCGGCACCACAGACTGGGCTTCGCGATAGATCTGCAATATTTCGCTGGATGGCCAAATTCGCCAGCAATTTCTACACTGTTGTGGTGTAGGGATCACCTTTCGAACTTGTAACCGATGTCCTGCTAAAATAAACGGAGGAGGGGGGGGGAGTTCTCGGCTGTCAAAATTTTAAACGAGCCACATTGCTAGGGTATCGTCTCCGCCACGGGCAGGAAGAACGTAAGTGTCTACCTTGAGGATTGGGAGATCTTGGAGTTCCAGCTGTTCTAGAAATGTCGGTGCCACATGTCTGGAAATTTTTGTTGAACTATGGTATGGGGCCGAATAACGGTACCACTACAAATTGAGGGGAATGATGTTTTTAAAGGGTGACAGGAACAGTATCTATATGGTAAGACGAGAGAGCTCACGAGCTGGGTAGCATTCTGTACGGTAATGATGCGCGTACCGCTCTTAAGAGCATGAAAAGAATATCTTTAAAACATGGCGTAGGAGTGCCTTGCCAATACTATGGTCAGAAAGATAGGCAGTAGAGGAAGTTGGTCGTAAAGTGAAGAATTTAGTCCCTGTTCAGTCTGAAACTGAGCGTGGAAAGGTAGTGAAGGACGTGTCGATCGTTTCTGAGAGAACGAGAAGGTGAAGGTGGAGAAGTATCATCAGCGGGTAATTGTCGTTGACTTTAGGCGTGGGACCAGAGTGGCCCGACGTGGGACGGGTCGGCGATTTGAAAATTGCCGCCCCGTAGGGGGAAAGAGGCCGGAAGCATAGTCAGAGGAAGCGAAGGTCTGATAAATCGAAGGAGTCAGTCGAGGCCTCAGTACCTGAGCGGGTGAGGAAACAGCACGGCAATAGGTACAGGGGCATGAGGAATGTCTGAAGAGTGGTCCAAAGACGAGGCGGGGTCAGAACGGGGTGCGGTATCAAGAAGGGGCCCGGGGGTACCAGGTTCATGGACTGGGGCTGCCATGGTTAGGTTACTTCCTTCTTTTTGTTTTAAGAAAAAAAAAAAAAAGAAGAAAAGAAAATAAAAATAAAAAAAAGAAAAAAAAAGGGGGGACCGGGGAGGGATAGTTCCTAGGAGGGATGAAGGGCCAGAAATCCCCTCCGCCCCCAAAGAGGACTCGACACCGCTAGTAGCGCAGATGCAGCATGGAACCCGTGCCATACCCTACCCTTCATGCCAGTAAACCAGCAATCTGGGATAGCAACCTCACATCTGCCGAGCTACCTCGGGGGACAAAAGAGAGGGCGGCCGGATATCCGCCACAAAGCATACCTCTTAGCCACCCCCCCCGGAATCCGAAAGGGGGGTTCCAGAGCTACACCCGTCGCCCAAAAGACACCCAAAGCTACTCCGGGATACCCGGGGAGGGATCGGGACATCCTAGGCAATCCAGATTCCCGGCAAACTAACGCCACCCCCAAGAAACCTCAACGGAATGGGATGGACCCCGGGGTCCCCTTTTCCTACCTAGGAACTAGCGCGCCCGTGGGAGAAATCCCAAAGGACAAAAAGAGGAAGGGCAAAGGGGGGAGTGGGGAGGAGGAGGAGGAAAGGAAAAAGGGGAGGATGGGGAGGATGGGATAGGGGAGGGGAGATTGGGGGGTAATTAGGTTCGGGCTGAGGAAGAAGACCGATAGGTCTAATTCCTCAGACCAAGAGCCTCTTCACCACGCCAAGGAGCCCCCCTTGAAGAGGCGCAGGGGGAAAAAATAATGGATTTACTACATTCTGGTGGATACTGAATACTGTGTGGATTACAAAATTAACAAATTATCCACTTCAGCGGTAAAATCGAAATCTCCTTTACAAACTTGGATTATATCTTAACGGAATGGATACCAACTTCCTCATACTATTTATATATATATATATATATATATATATAATATATTTTATATATATATATATATATATAAATATATTATATTTTATATATATAACCTTAATCAAGCAGACTTTACTGTTTTGGTTATTGGCATCATTTTATGGACACAGTTTTAACTTTGTTATTGCTGTGCCATGTTTTATCACTGTTGCTTTGTTGTTCTCGTCATTACTATTTTATTGCACTGCCAATGATAACTCTCTTGATTGTTACTCTTACTTACAGTTATTCACAATATTTACCTGCCAACATTTGCTTCGTAAATCTTATTTAAGTAAGTTTATTCATGGTAATTTACACAGTGTAAATTACCTAGGGTAACCCCTCAAAAATAACAGCTTTCAGTCTGGTCAGTTACAAATAGAAACAAGTCTAATATATACCTTTGATATACCTTTGAAGAGTTTCGAGAGTTTATCTACTCTCTGAGCCCGGCCATGGGCCAGGCTCGTCTGACGTTACAATCCAACAATGGCGTCTTTTAACATGGATAAGTGAGGATTTATAACCTTTGATATGCCTATGATGAGTTTCGAGAGAGTACTCTCGGAGCCCGGCCATTGGCCAGGCTCGTCTGGTACTTGCCTGGTCAACCAGGCTGTTGCTGCTGCTGGTCATCCTTAATAATATTAGCTATTAATTTCACAATATAAGAATACCTTCACTTATCTAGCAAACTCTGTAATAGTCAGTTTGTAGTTTATAAAAAACTAATATTTGATTTTAGTATCCTCCAATAAAGCACAAATTGTTTGTGGGGGTAAAAGTTATTTATAAGTAATGTTTCTTACATTTAACATTGTGGAGTGGGAACCTACGGTCCTTCTGCCTCGTGATGGCATTCATAGAGAGCATGAGTGCACTCCTATTCTCCACCTCTTCTTTCTGGTATTTGTCTAATTCTAACACTGCCTTCAACATCTGAGAACATCAGTTCCTCTGGTAGCTAAATCTATGGGATATTAGAAGTCCCTTGATTTTCCCCAGACTCACAGTACCTCTCAAAGCCAGGAAGCAGCTTCTAGATACTAAACGTTTACCATTTAGTAGTAGTAGTACTACGACTATCCTCTGAGAATCAACAGGTATTTTAAGACAAACCTTAAGCGATTGTTTCAGGGTTCTTGCAAGCTAGAACTGTCTCCTGAGTCCAGGGTGAGAGTACCGAGACTGCGGAGATTCAAAAGTCTCATATTATATATATTATATTTATATATATATATATATATATTTATATATATTTTAAAATATATATATATATTATATATATATATATATATATATATAAATACACATATATCATACAGTACGTATAGGGTTAAAATAAAACTTTTTGAACCTCAAACACAAATGAAAGTGGTTTTTAGTGCTGTGTGACAACAATACCATAAACCATGAAACAGGAACAGCCAAAAAATTTGGAAAATAATCGCGAATATACAAATAAATTTGAGCCGGGGCCCGCCGCCATTTTTTCAGCATAAAAGTTCAATGAGACATGGTTTGTGTTGTATGTTGGGTAAAGCTGCCCTTCTCTCAGGTGTGGATGAAGTATATACATACACATGATTGCATGATGATATTTCGTCCACTGTGTGAAGTATACATCTGCTATTCTGACCAGTAATTGTATACACAAGGTGTTCTGGCCAGTGTAAGTATACATATATTCTGACCACTGTATGATTTATACATCCTAGTTTTCTATAGTGTATGAAGTATTCTGTCCTGTGTTTACAATGTATGATGTTCTGTCCAACATATGAAATGTACACCTGGTATTCTGTCCAGCATGTAATGTACATCACAGTATACTGTATGACCAAGAAATATACAATATAGTTTATCTTCATGAAATAAACCGTACAATTGTTCATGTAAAATACATTAGCACTATATCGCTTATGTTCTTTTTGAGTGAATACATTACTGTAGCCGATGTAGTTTATTCCAGTAATACAACTAATATTCTACTCAGAAGCTTCTAGTCCATTTCACTGAGGTCAACTGGTTGTTAATTCAAGATTTTTAAGGTCAATGGACTATTAATTCAAGATTTTGAAACCTCAGCTGGCTATTAATTCAGAAATTTTAAGGTCAAATGGTTATTAATTCAGGATTTTAAATTAGCCATTAATTTAGGCAGTTAAATATGGCGGCCAACTTGTATACGCTCGTTTTAATTTCTTCAGTAGATGACAAGTTTTTATCGCATCCTTTCGCTGGCAACACTCGAAAGAACCTTATTTTACAAACCTATCATTATTTGTTCTAGTTCCTAAATCTTATGCATATCCATATGCTCCTGCGTTGCCGTCCCAAGATATGGGGTGTACAATAAACTAATTCCTACCACCCACAGGATGGATATAGAGTACACAAACTAGCTAGTGGCCTTCACAGGATGGACATAGGGTGCAACAAAGTAGCCACTACCATCCACAGATGGATATAGGGTACACCATAACCTAGGTGCTTCGGCTGCAAAAATCTAAAATCTAACTTAAATAAGTAACGCTTTCATGCAGACAGAGGCAAGACAGCAGGCCGACAACATCATGGCAGACACATGCTGGAGAAAGGCGTCGACATAAGTAAGCATGCAGTATTGTGCAAATAAGGAAACAGTTACAAATAGCAAATTGGCACCATAAGCAAAATGAAGAGAGGAGAGAAACACTATCAACACAGTCTAAGAGAAAGCATCAATGAGCAGCTTCGCATGGCCTTTTCCATTTGAAAAGGCCATGTGATGTAATGACGCTTGTACATCTTTCGTTTTTCAGTGAATAGTGTTTTTCTTTATAACTTCAGAGCATTTAATAACGTTTGAGGCAAGCTTGCTCATGTTATTCTACATTACAAAGCCCCACGAGCACTACTTAGCCAAGCTAACTGTAGATTTCGCGAGATTGTACAAAGAACAGCTAAGCATTCCTCAGCCAATCACTACTAATCAAGATTATCTTCCATGGGATTTTAGAGATCAACAGTGGAGCGCTCCTCCGCCAATCATTTTCGAGCACAGCTTTTTTGGAGTCAAGCAGAACGTAAAATGCCATGGCTATAGATTGAGAGAAGAGGGACGTACATACCAGGAGGAACGGCGCAGGAACATCGAGGAATGTCCAACTCGTTCTGACGAAGTCTCATTCTGCGAGCTTCCATTTCCGCCAGCTCTGATGTTGGGCTGGACGAAGAACCTCGAGACTCGTCTACTTCTGTCACCGGTTCTTGTTTCACCTGTTGCTCTTGTAATTTCTGTTGCCGCTGCTGCTGCAGCTGCTGTCTTTGCTGCTGCTGCTGTTCCTGGTGTTGTTGCTGTTCTTGCTGCTGCATCATATGCTGCTGCTGCTGTTGTTGCATCATATGCTGCTGCTGTTGCATCATATGCTGCTGCTGTTGGTGTTGCATCATATGCTGCTGCTGTTGTTGTAGATGTTGATGCTGCTGTTGTAGATGTTGCTGCTGCAGATGATGTTGCTTTAGTTGATGTTGTTGCTGTTCGTGTATAGACTGATGTTGCGGTCGCTGTGGCTGGTGTACATGCTGATGATGTTGCTCTTGTAGATGCTTCTGCATATTTTCTGCATGTTTATGTTGCAGATGTTGTTGATGATGCTGGTGCAATTGGTGTTGAGTGTGGTGTTGCTGTAGTGTGTCGTACCTCATCTGTGTACTAGTATCGACCTGTCGAGTACCAGGTTGACTGGTAGTAACAATCTGTTTACCGCGTTGCCTTCCAGCCTGGTGAACAGTAGTTTGTTCAACACACTGTTGAACACTGGTTTGACATGCGGTTGCATGCTGTTGAACCAGTTGATGCCGATGAGGTGTACTTTGACTGGTAGAGGTGGTCACTACGACTGGCGAAGAGGTAGTGTTAGAATTGGTGATGGTAGTGGTCGTGTTGGAGGTGTATTCAGGAACTGATTGTTGAGGCTGGTAGGCAGAGGCAGGGGCCCCCGGGGGCCGGGTCTGTCCCTCAGTTGTTGAAGGTGGGGGCAGCCGTGGGCCCACGGGGGTGGGCTGGCGAAGTGGCTGGCAAAATCCAGCCACATTAGCACACACAGGCCGCGACATGCACGGTCCTGTCCCCCTGACCCTGCCAAACCGAAAATCCTGGCGGTTATGACCTGAATCCGGACTGTCAGGAAAGTCATACACGGAGAGTTTCCAGCCAGGATCCTGACGAACAGTCAATCTTGGCTTGTGCTCCAGGTGTTCCACTGTTGACTTGGTGTTATGTTCTCTTGCTGGCTGTGAGACCAGATCCTCTCTCACCGATTTTCGATCCAGCTGTTCCGCTTGCTGCTTTTGGTCCAGCTGGGCCAATGATGGCTTTTGGTCCAGCTGGTCCAGTGGCGGCTTTTGGTCCAACTGCTCAAATGATGGTTTGACATCCAGTTGATCTGCTGGTGAGTTTAGGTCTGGTCGGTCTGGCGGTTTAGGCGCCATGCTAATTGATGGGTCTCCCTGTTCCTGTTTTATTTCCACATCTTTATTAAATTCAAGCTCACTTTTCGTTTGGATTTCTTCTTTTTCTTCTTTAATCTTAATAGTCTCGCTCGAAGTTTCTGGTGCTTGTGGCTGCGTGTTGGCGAATGTTCCCTGCGCCGATGACGATGGTAGCGGTGCTTGCGGTGATGCCCCAGGGAGCGTGGCTTGCGGTGATGCCCCAGGGAGCGTGGCTTGCGGTGATGCCCCAGGGAGCGTGGCTTGCGGTGATGCCCCAGGGAGCGTGGCTTGCGGTGATGCCCCAGGGAGCGTGGCCTGCGGTGATGCCCCAGGGAGCGTGGCTTGCGGTGATGCCCCAGGGAGCGTGGCTTGCGGTGATGCCCCAGGGAGCGTGGCTTGCGGTGATGCCCCAGGGAGCGTGGCTTGCGGTGATGCTCCTGGAAGCATAACTCGCGGCAATGTCGCGGTTAGCGTGGCTCGCGGCGATGCCCCAGTTAGTGCAGCTCGCGGCGATGTCGCGATAAGCGTGGCTCGCGGCGATGCCCCAGTTAGCGTAGCTCGCGGTGATGCTCCTGTTAGTGTGGCTCGCGGCGATGCTCCTGTTAGTGTGGCTCGCGGCGATGCTCCTATTAGTGTGGCTCGCGGGGATACCCCCTGCAACGGGGGCGAACATCTGGTGGTGTTGTTGGCGCGGACCTTCGTGGTCTCAGCGCCGCCCTTCACATCAGTACTGTTAGCGTGGACTACAGAGCCCGGGCCAGACTCTGTAGTCCTATAGGCTAAAAAATTCTGGGCCATTTTGAGTGACTCATGCATGTGCCCGGGCTCCGCGTTCGCCACACTAGTGACAGCGGCCACGTGGCCCGAAAAGTGAACCTCTCCTAGGGGCGGAGAGTCCACACTACCACCAGGATAGCTCCCACCTTGCCGAGACATTATCATGTTTTTGAGTCGACTCTGGACGCTTACGGAGCCGTGCGGGCTGCCTTGGGGCACTCCCGCACCCCCCTCCAAGGCTTGACCCGAGTACCCGCCCGCAGACACTCTAGAGCCGAGTAAATTCTGCGTGGGGGGAGGCGGGTACCCAGGCTTCTCGTTTGGGTGTTCGGAGGCGTGAGGAGATGGTAAAGTTGTCATGGTGAAGCCTCCCGTGACAGGCGAGGCTTCAGGGGCTGACACCGCTGGGGAGGGCATTGGAGACTTGAACATACCACCTTGTTGCTGCTGTTGCTGTTGTTGCTGCTGCTGTTGCTGCTGCTGCTGTTGTTGCTGTTGTTGATGGAAGTCATTAGAGCCTGGGTATCGGTGGTGATGGGGAGACGAACCCCCCACTACTCCGTTTCCCTGATTTTGGTTGAGGAAGCCGTTAGGGGGCCCGTTGCTGAAGGCAGGGACGGAGGTTTGCGATGTCTGCGGGGAGAAATGCCCCTGGGGAACGTACCCGCCGTTACCATTGTCACCTCCCGTGTTAAACTGTCCGTTGAACTGATTGTTGTACTGGGAGACACTTGGCACCGGGGGCGCTGGCGCACCACTGGGCCCCCCGGGGAAGTTAAACATAGGTTGCCGAGGTTCGAACTGATTGAACTGGTGTGGTGGCGGCGGGGGCGGTGGGTGGCCCATGGGTGGGTGGCCAAGGGCGGGAGGGTGGAAGGGCGGCGGCCACTGCCCTTGCGGCGCGTCGCCGCCCCATACAGCGTTGGGGAAGCGCTCCCGCATGTGGGGGAAGGGCGGGATCTCTGGAGGTGGAAGGGCCGGCTGTTCCCCCATCCCTGGCCCTGGGAAGAAGGGCATCATGGCGCCCATCCCTGACTGACGGCGTTCCATCTTCTCGCCGCGAGGAGTCTGCAATAAAAGAGAAACATTGTCAACAAAAGATAAACAGAAGTGACTTAAGAAATCGTAATAACACGATTGGAAACAATTGAGTGCGTGGGGATGGAACTCATGGCGAGTGAGTCCTCGCCATGGGTTAAAACCCATCCGTTCCCTGATTTATAAAAAGAAATGGACAGACAAACACAAGGGCCAGCAGTAACAGCCTGGCTAATAAGACCCTGATCCACCGCGAGGCCTGGTCATGGACCGGAACACCCTCCAGGTATACTCCAAAATATAAACACTATCAACCTTCGATATACCTTTGATGAGTTTCGAGTCTTACTACTCTCGGAGCCCGACCATGGGTCAGGCACTGACAATCATCAGACTGGAATAAATACAGTCAAATATACGACTGGAATATACTCCCTGTCAAACAAAAGACTGGAATGTCAAATACATTAGCCTTAAGACTAGATTTTGTCAAATTTTGACCAATATTTGTTATATAACTTGAAAGAATGATACTTAATAAGACTATATGCTTACAGAATCAGACACCGACTCTCATCTCCATGGTTTTAAACGGGAAGAATGTTCAGAATTATATTATCGCAATTCTCACTGTACACTCTTCAACTACTACTAGTTTTCCCACATTTAGTAAATTTATTTAGGTAGAGGTACACAAATACAAATGTCAGTGTAAATTACCTAGGACAACCCAAAATTGTCAGATAAAGTGACTTATTTCCACTGGGATCCTTAACTTTCAATCTTCATTTGATATCATAAGCAGAACTGTCATCCAATATAAACTATCCAAAATGGTTGTTTAGTGATAATCTTAATAGAGTAGACACTGTTCTCTATCAAGATTTTTAGGAAAGGGATTAAGGAAATGTCCTTAAGTGCAACACAGGGTGGAGTACTGTCTGCTTCACAAACATACGACTATAAGCTACGTTGATAGCACTATGAACTTCCTGGAGTAATCTACTAGGACTAACTTAAATACGTTGCATTTAGTTTGCATTTTAGCTTGTCTTCTTTTCAATGTCACCGACGAGTACCATCAGGTCATGTTGCATCCCTCCGCCAAACAAGACCAGCTTTCTGACACACCAAGTACTTGTAACAGGGTGTGCAACCTATGTAGGATTGACGAGGAAAGTACTGGGTGATATGTCTAATGTCTCTTACTTGTAACCAAAGCTAAACCTGGCTGCTACATCAGTTCGTTTATATCGCAAGTTGCTCTAAGTGTGCTTACCTACGTTCATGTTATAGTGAGTTATAGAAGTGTGGTTCAATACGTGAATGGTCGTACCCTGAGGGGAAACACGTGGGCTGAGAAGTGGGTCATGGCTCTGCTGGCTTGACAAACGAGGGGTCGAGCCGTGGCTGACCTCTAGAACAAGGAAAACCTTTCATGCCTCTCCACACAGCGGCACCTCCAACGCCACTGTTTGTAAATAAGACCACGTGGTCTTGAGTAGCTAAGATAACTGACCACAAGTCTCTTTTTTTTATGGTCCCCAAATGCACTTCTGATCCCTCTTAGCTTCTAGGCCTTTATTTAAATCATATTGCACTACTGTCCACAGAACTGGATATAGAATCAGATTTAGATTTGCTTGTGCACAGAGTATATGGATACACAGAAACTTAATAGAAGTAAATCTGGGTATACATTATTTAGAAATTTATCAGAATACTCGTTCAGATTTTCTGGGAGCTTATTTCTATTTATAAGACTCCTTAAGTGGGAAATCAAGCGCACCGTGTTCAAGAAAGTGACATAAATGAGAACAACAACAATGTGTATATTCTGGTTTGTTTACAAACAATAACACGTGGTGCCTGCATTACTGATATTAGAGAATAACCGCCTTTATGGCGGTGTGTGATAAAGGGGAGTTGAGCCTGCAGGCGTTCCCCTACTTCCCTCCCCTCAGAGAGAAAGGGGAAGGGGAGAGAGAGAGCGAGCCTCTTACACCCTAGAGGAAGAAGTATGAGGGAGGACCAGGGGGTAATACGGCCCTTATTCACTCTTGGCAATAGAGCTAACATTTAAATGTCAAGCTCTTCCCTTCCCCCTGATTCAACAGGTGATGGTGGTAGGGGGAAGCCGGGGCGCCCCTTTCACGCCATTGACACCCTTAGACACTCTCACTATAATACACCATACATTGACAACGCTCTTGACCTTGTGGTTTCCATGGTGAAAGGAGCTGCTCTTTCCCTCTTCTTCCTCCCTCTCTCTCTTTCTCTCTCCCCTCTTCCTGCTTCCTCTCTCTTCCCCTCCTGCCTGAGTCAGTGCCCTCCCCACCCTTTACAAATGCCAACACATCTTCCCTCTCCCCTCCCCCCATTCCCCCCTTCAAGGTCGCTCAAGGCCGGGGGAGGAGGGGGGTGGCAGGACTCGAGAGGTGGAGGGAGGGAGTGAGAGGAAGGGAATTCCCACCCTCTGTGCCCTCACCTCCATCCCTCTCACCTCAGGTTTGTCGAGGGGAAGAGGAGGAGGAGGAGGAACGTGGTGGAACAGTGTGGAAGAGAAATAGGATAGAGGAGAAATACAGGAAAAAAGGTTATCTTGCAAGAATATAATTAAATTATATACATGTGTATTATATATATATATATATATATATATATATATATATATATATATATATATATATATAATATATATATATATATATATAAAGAAGAGTGGGTATATAAATTCTTTCATATAGCGTATAAACTTTTACAGAATGGCTGTGATCATGCTAAATGGGTTGTCAGACTTTATAGTTAGTGGTGTTGAATGGCGCTCCAGTAAGAGTCACTGAACAGTGCTGGTATAGCCAGTATGTTTGATTCTGTTTACTCTTGCGTTATACTACACACACACACACACACACACACACACACACACACACACACACACACACACACACACACACACACACACACACACACACACACACACACACACACAAGGTGTTGTACAACATACATAATAAATTATACAAAATATATTGCAAATTGTGCAGCATACTATTTAAATTATACAAATTATCTTGTGACTTATGTAAAATAATTGGCGAATTATAGAATATATTATTCAAATTAAACAAAATGCCTTAGAAATTATACAAAATACCTCGGACAAAAAATACTTACGAATTATACAAAATATCTCACTAATTATACAAAATGCCTCACGAATTAAAAAAAATCTCACGAATAAAAAAACTCACGAATTATACAAAATACCTCACGAATTATACAAAATACCTCACGAATTAAAAAAAATACCTCACGAATTATACAAAATACCTCACGAATTATACAAAATACCTCACGAATTATACAATACCTCACGAACATCTCAATACATGTAGCCTCACGAAACTGGCCAGAAACATTACGGCTGACAGGCTTAAGAGAATTATAAGCAAACGAGGTCATTTTATCACAAAAAATGGCGTCGCGTAATAAACATGTTACGCTACCCACGACACAAAAGACGCAACACGCATCACGCGCTATCCTCCATACCGGCATTTCTGTTACGCTTTTCAAGAGCATTTTACGAGGTATACGTGAGACGAGTATAACAAGTACACCATAAGGGTGAGAATCACATGGTAATTGAGTAAACTTCTTGTTGACAAGTAACTGAGGCTAGTATCTATCTATATCTCTATCTCAGATCTCCCTCTTGCCTTTCAACCAGATCTGAGAGAGAATGAGAGAAAAGGAGATAGCTAGAGAGAGAGAGAGAGAGAGAGAGAGAGAGAGAGAGAGAGAGAGAGAGAGAGAGAGAGAGAGGAAGAGCGATGATTGTGTGTGTGTGGGGGAGTAACAACCTGACTTATCACCTTATCAGAACCAGCTGACGCTGTTTACATGACAAGTTCTCTACACCAGGACCAGTAAAGTCACGTACAGCTGGTGACTACTGGCACTAGTGCTCCTGACGGGGCCATCTACAGTGCCATCAGACAAGTACAGCAAAAATACGAGAAAAAACAGCGGAGGATGCCGGTATCAGCGTGCCAGTATCATGACTGCTTTATATTGTGCAGTGACAATGGGGAGTATTTAGGAATCTTAATTGAGGCCGAGATGTAGGAAATGAGCTATGTAGGGCTATTGGGAAACGAGCTGTGTAGGGTTCTTCGGGGAATGAGCTGTGTAGAGCTTCTGGGAAATGAACTATTGGAAGGCTCCTTATTCCATCCTCCACTCGCCCCTCTTCCCCTCACTCGACTCCCTCTCCTCCCTCTACTTCCACTCCCTCACTCGACTCCCCCTCCCTCCTTTCATTAGACTCATTCACCACCACCATCATATACCTACCCAACATTGCCACTACCTTCCCCCCCTCATCTCTCGTCTCAGGTAGTACCCCCAACCACTCCAAAACATCACCCCGATCCCACTACCACCCTTTCAAGACCCCTACAACCTCTCACAGGGCCACTACAACCCCTCACAGGTTCACTACCACCCCTCCAAAACCCCTACAACCCCTCACAGACCTACAAACCTCACAGGGCCATCACAACCCCTCACAAGGCCACTACCACCCCTCCAAGACCCCTACAACCCCTCTAAAAACCCTACAACCCCTCCAAAAACCCCTACAACCCCTCTAATGACCTCTACCACCCATATACAGAGTTACTTCTGACAGAATAATGAGAAGTGTATGAGTTGTGGGTCTCCCCCCTCCCTCCCTCCCTCTCTCTCTCTCTCTCTCTCTCTCTCTCTCTCTCTCTCTCTCTCTCTCTCTCTCTCTCTTTCTACAAACCAGCCACCCGAAAAATGCCAAAAAAATGACTAAAAAACTTCATACAGCCCACCGTGGGTTGGAGGCCCATGAAAGACCACCAGAGTAACATTTGTCCTGACAAAAGCTTCTATTTGAGCCCATCTCCTACCCCCAACCACCTATCCCTCTCCACTCTCTATCCCCAGTAGTCAAGGCAACTAGCCGCAGCATCTGGCCATGGGTAGGCCTATGCTAG